ATGCATGTATGTATGTATGTATGTATGTATGCATGCATGCATGCATGCATATATATATATATATATATATATGTATGTATGTATGTATATGTATATGTATATGTATATGTATATGTATATATGATATTCAGCTTTGTTTGGTAGCGACGTTTCGGCAGAATCTCATCTGCCATCATCAGGCTCGGGTATTGGGTTTATCTTCATTGTGTGTATCAGGCTTTCGCAGCCGTTTCTGTTTTAAATTTGGTGCTAACCTTGTGCTTTGTTAGAATGGTTTTTTCTTCATCCTGATTGGTTGGGAATCTAGGTCTGTGTTTATTGGTCTTGGAGTTTGCTGTGTTCATCTTGATTAGTGTTTCTAATATCTTCTGTCTGTTTTGTAGCATTTTTTTTTTGTCTTGATTAGCTGGCAACATTGTGTTTTGTAAATTGGGGGCTTTTAGCACAGCTTGGCTTTGAGTGAATGGACGGCAATCGTTTATTAGGAAGCTAGGTTTCATCTGGGTGGCTGGCTGAGGTGTGTTTGGGCTGGAGGTATCGGGGGCGGTGGGGGGGATCTGTTTGTGCCCAGGTGTTTGCCTGGCTTGTGGTGTGGAGGTTTTTTTGTTTGTGAGTGCAGGCTTCCAGATAATTGACAGTCTGGTGGAGTCATCTCTTTGATTCATGCTCATTAGAATACACACACACACAAAAAAAAAAACACTTAGATTTTCTTACAACTGTTTGAAGTGTCACATACATATAGTTTTCGACTTACAATTGTAATTGAACTGGAATTATAGTGATGTTGAAAGACTTATCCTTCTGGGTTCAATCCCAAGTGGGTAAAAAGACGCTGGAAACATGGAGGCTGTTTGGAAAGATGGTTTAATGGTGGACAGGAGGACCTCATGGCCTGGAGCTCCAGAGTGAAAAGGAAGGATGATCACCTGCTCCAAGGTGAAGGAAGAGATCAAGAAAAGAGGCTGAGGGGCTGAGAGTGCCTGGGTTTTATAACCTTTGTTGGGATTTGAATTGAAGCTTGTATTCTGATTGGTTGTCAGACTCCCATGGGGCCACGCAGGGGCAACTCTGTAGGCTGTCCTGGGTTCCAGGCTTGGTTGAGTCTGGCTGGATGATGATGCACTGAAAAGGGCTTTTGGCAATTGTTGTAGTTTTACATGGAGATCTTTGTTACGTAATATATTCTGGCCCAGGCCTTAATGGTCCACCCATTAACAAAGGTGGGGGCGAGCTTCTGCTTCTGAGGTGAGTTTCTGCTCTTGAGTTTCTACTCTTTTTACGGGAAATATTCTGCCTTTTTAATATTTCCTACGCTATTTCAATTTTCTAGGAGACGGGTAGATGCTAACTTCCTACAGTGATAAGTAATGGCAGTCACTAAACAGGTCACTTCATGACATCACTGATCACAAATGGACTTTCTTAACAACTGCCATGTTTACAAACCTTCTTCTTCTTTTTTTGTTTTTCAAACATAGCCATTGTGAAGTGAAGTTCATTCTATCCAATAGGCATTTTTGCTAGAAACCAGAAGTTGTAAATTGTGGTCGCATGATGGAAAATGCTGCAAACCACTGAAAATGCCCAATGGCCAAATGTCCCAAACCAGGTTGTCAGTTACTCTAACTTTGAAAAGTTACTAAGCAATTGGTCATAAATTGAGGACTCTCTCTGTTACAACATTGGCTGTGACGCAACATATCCAGATCTGGTGGTTTTGAGATAGGCTACAGCATATCCTGGCTGAGGAATTCTGGAAGTTTAAGTCCATACATCTTAAAGTTGCCAGAGTTGACAAACACTAATTCACAACACAGGTAGCCCTCGACTTACGTTCGGTTGCAACTGAGCCCCCAACATTCTTTTGCTAAATGAGACAATTGGCAAATGAAATTTGCTCCATTTTACAACTTTTCTTGCCACAGTTGTTAAGCGAACCCCTGCATTTGATAGGTTACTAGTAATACCTGTCTGTTAAGTGAATCTGGATCCCCCGTGGATTTTGTTGGTCAGAAAGTCGCAAAAGGAGGATTGTCAGGATTCCATTTAAATCATGAGTCTCAAGCCAAACTTCCAAAACTTAAAAAGGATATATTGAGAGTTAACATGCCGGCATTGCCTGGGTGTAGCCGACTCTGAGACACATAATTCACTGTCAACCTTGACCCTGTTTTTTCCCCCACCCCTTGGGTATATTCTCCAATGGGACACATCCCTAGCCAAGAGTCATCCATCATGCTCTCCAGCTAGAATTTTGCACAGCAGAAACTTCAGTCACCTGGAAACTATCTTTGAAAACATTGATGGAATGTAGTTTCGGTTTTGCAAGCTGATGCACTGCTCCCCGATCCTTTTCTGTTGGCAACTCTTAAAAAGACCACAGAAATATTTTATGAGTTGACAGGGATCGTATGACCTCGGGGACACTGCGACCATCACAACTATGAACTAGTGGCACAAGAATTTTGATCGGGTGACCGTGGCAGAGGATGCTGCAAAGGTTGGAATGGAAAAAAAAACAGCCATAAGCAGGGTTGAGCTTCAAAAATGTTAGGAACGGGTTCTCTGCCCAGTTGCTGCGTGCCCTGCACTTACCTGCATTGAAAACGGGCCGCATGGGGACTCCGGGAAGGGTGCTGTGGGCAGGGCCAGGCAGGAGTGGAATATGGGGGGGTGGGGTTTCTCTGAACTGCGCAGAATCTTAGCTAGGTGCTCTCCCGAACCCCTGCGAACCCCCAGCAGCCCAGCCCCAGCCATACGTCACTTTTCCCAGTCCTGTTGTACATCGGAACAGTCAGCCAACGAACCTCCCGTATTGGAGTTTGCCCTAAAAATGTGTATTATTAGCGCCACCTGGTGGTGATGACAGGACCCTCTTTTTCCCAGCTTCAAATGAAACGGCTTCACGAACCGACGTCTCGATTCGGGGCTTTCTAGCTCTTTTCCTTCCGACCTGTTTCCTCTTTCCCCTCCTTCAGATTTTCCTTTGGGTTGGGAAAACCGCCAACAGCTATGAAAAGACGGAGTCCGTTTCGGCAGCCAAAGAATATTTGAAGAACCACCCAGCGGGGAGAGACGTAGCAACCCCAATCATCACCGTCAAACAAGGTCATGAGCCCCTGAACTTCACCGGTTGGTTCACTGCCTGGGACCCTTACAAGTGGAGCGTAAGTCCAAAAATAATTTGGGGGGCTACCTGAATGTTTAGTCAAAATTGGATGCCGTTCCCCTTTCTTGTATCTTGTTGAAAACTCAAGTCTTGCAAACTGTGATGGGCAATGGAGGCCAGTTGTGTATGTAGCCCCACCTGAGGATGACGATGGCCAAGGGAAGGTTGCAACGCAGCTGTGAAACTAAGATCAGAAGGAAAAGGTGAATTGAAGAAGAAAATGTAGGTTTAATCATGAAGTAGGCAGCCCATGCCCCATTGGGTCAGGGTTTCAGAGATATTTCCTCACCTAAATAGAGAAACAGAATGAGTAAGGCTGAAGAAAGACACAGCAGAAGAGAGAAGCACTTTTAACTTCCTTCTGGCTTCCCCATTGAGTTTCTTTGTGGGAGTCTGGCAAGAAGCATTGGAAATCTTCCTCCCTCTCTTCCTCTCTCCCTTCATTCTTCTTTCTTTCATCCTTCCTTTCTTCTTCCCTCCCTCCATTCATCCATCCCTCTTCCTCCCTTCTTTCTTCCCTTTCCCCCTGCCTCCGTCCCTTCATCCTTCTTTCTTTCATCCTTCCTGCCTCCCACCCTCTGACCCTCCAACCATTGCTGCCTCTTTCATCTTCCTTCCTTCCTTTCTTCCTCCCTCTCTGCCTTCCTCCTTCTTTCTTTCACCTCCCTCCCTCTATCCATCTCTCCCTTTCTCCTCTCTCCTTCCTTCCTTTTTTCCCCACAGCCTCCCTCCCTTCAAACCTTTCTTTCATCTATCATCCTTCCTTCCTTCCTCCCTCCCTTCTTTTTTCATCTTCCTTCCTCCTTCCCTCTAGCCATCTCTCCCTTTCTCCTCCCTCCCTCCCTTTCTTCCACACAGCCTCCCTCCCTCCCTTCAAGCCTTCTTACTTTCATTGTCTTCCTTCCTTCTTTCCTTCCTTCCTTCCTTCCTTCCTTCCTTCCTTCCTTCCTTCCTTCCTCCTTTCTCAACATAGTTCCTGCAGATATTATTGAATATAGTTTAATCATTTTGTACCCGTTACACTTTGCACAGTGTAACATGTACAATCCACAAAACCATTGCAATAGTCCAACCTCGGTGTAATTAAAAGAAAGATACAGTTAACGGGCTGAGAAAATGTTAATTAAAAACATATTTTAGATTGAAGGACAAGCTGGTTGTACAATTCCCATTTCCTTGCCTCTGGAAAGTTTCTTTCAGATTTATGCCAGCAACAGTGCTATACGGCTTAATTTAATCATCCCTTTATTTCCTAAACCATGATCCCTTCTGTGCTCTTTTAGGATGGGAAGTCTTATGAACAGATGAAGAGTAGTTTAGGGGATGTATCTGCCATATCAGAAATTACGATGGTGAGTACGCCTGATGGACTGCAGAGGTGGGAACTGGGGGTTGCTTCCTTCCAGGAATTTGGAGTCTCACATATAAAGCAAATGAATTAGGGGATACCTGAACAAGGACAAGTTCTCCATCAGCATTACTGTCGAGCCATTGAGCTGTGGTGGCACAGTGGTTAGAATGTAGTATTGCAGGCAGACTCTGCCGACTGCCAACAGTTTGATCCTGACCAGCTCAAGGTTGACTCAGCCTTCCATCCTTCTGAGGTGGGTAAACTGAGGATCCAGATTGTTGGGGGCAATAGGCTGATGCAAACACAAGCAACAGAACATAATGACACCAGAGTCTCGGATTTTCAAAAAGCTGATTTCAATAAACTCAGAGAGAACTTGAGAAAGGTTCCATGGATGAAAATCCTAAAGGGGAAAACAACTCAAGAATCTTGGGAAACTCTAAAAAGTATGATCATAGAAGCCCAGACCAGCACAATACCACTGAGAAAGAATAATAAGATATCCAAGAAGAAACCAGCATGGCTGCACAAATATCTCTCTGGCAAATTGAAAGAAAAAAAAAGGACAAGTACAAAAAATGGAAAGAAGGACAAATAACTAAGGCAGGATATCAGCAGATAGACAGAATCTGCAAAGACGAAGTCAGGACAGCAAAGGCTCAGAATGAACAAAGACTTGGAACAAAAGTCAAAGATAATAAAAAAAAAGTTTCTTCCAACATGTACATAACAAGAAAAAAATCAAGGAAATAGTCGGTCTGCTAAAGAGAGAAGACGGCAAGGAAGTAACAGGCAACTGAGAGAAAGCAGAACTGCTGAACTCATTCTTTGCATCCGTCTTCACGCAAAAAGAAACTATAGCTCAACCCACCAAAAACATAACTGTAAAAGACAAACCAGAAATAAAAGCTAAAATAAGCAAAAAAAATAGTAAGAGAACACCTGTCTGATCTTGATGAAAACAAATCACCGGAGTTTTAAAGGAGCTGGCAGAGGTCATCTCAGAACCACTGCACCATAATCGTTCAAAAATTGTGAAGCACCGGAGAACTACCAGAGGACTGGAAAAGAGCTGATGTGGTTCCCATCTTCAAAAAAGGGGAAAATACAGACCCAGGAAACTATAGACCAATCAGCCTAACATCAATACCCAGGAAGATACTGGAAAAGCTAATAAAAAAACAGACCTGCCAACATCTAGAAACAAGTAAAGTAATAACTAGCAGTCAGCATGGGTTTGTTAAAAACAGATCATGCCAAACCAACCTCATTTCATTCTTCAATAAAATTAACTAAATTAGTAGACCAGCAAAATACTGTGGACATAATATATTTAGATTTCAGCAAGGCATTTGATAAAGTAGACCACAACCTACTTCTTAGTAAACTAGAAAAAAGTGGGATAGATAGCACCACCATTAGATGGACTCGCAACTGGCTGGCAAACCGTACCCAACGAGTAGTCCTTAATGGGTCTAAGTCTACATGGAGGGAAGTAAGCAGTGGGGTGCCACAAGGTTCCATCTTAGGCCCAGGACTCTTCAATATCTTCATTAATGACAGATGAGGGAATAGAAGGGGAACTTACCAAATTTGCAGATGATACTAAGCTGGCAGGAATAGCTAACACCCAAGAAGATAGGCTCAAGATCCAGAGGGATCTTGACCGACTAGAACACTGGGCCATATCTAACAAAATGAAACTCAATATAGAGAAAAGTAAAGTCCTACACTTAGGCAAGAAAAACCAAAAGTACCCATATAGATTGGGTGAAACCAGGCTCAATAGCAGTAACTATGAGAGGGATCTTGGAGTCTTAGTGGACAACCAGCTAAATAGGAGCCAGCCGTGTGCAGCAGCAGCCAAAAAAGCTAATGCAATCCTAAATTGTATTACCAGAGGGATACAGTCAAGATCAAGGGAAGTACTAATACCACTCTATAAAGCCTTAGTAAGACTACACCTAGAGTACTGCATCCAGTTTTGGTCACCACACTATAAAAAAGGATGTTGAAACTCTAGAAAAAGTACAGAGAAGAGCAACCAGGATGATTAGGGGACTGGAGGCTAAAACATACAACAAACGGTTGCAGGAACTGGGCTTGGCTAGTCTAGTGAAGAGAAAGACCAGGGGAGACATGATAGCGGTCTTCCAATATTTGGGGGGCTGCCACAGGGAGGAAGGGGTCAAGCTATTTTCTAAAGTGCCTGTAGGCCAGACAAGAAATGATGGGAACTGAACAAGAAGAGATTTAACCCGGAAATAAGGAGAAACTTTCTGACAGTGAGAATAATCAACCAATGGAACAGCTTGCCCTCAGAAGTTGTGGGAGCGCCATCACTTGAGACTTTCAAGGAGAGATTGGACTGCCATTTGTCAGAAATGGTGTAGGGTCTCCCGCTTGGGTGGAGGGGGGTTGGACTAGATGACCTACAAGGTCCCTCCCAACTCTGATTATCTGTATCTGTATCTGTATTGCATCAGGGACCAAGATAAGACTCTGTGAACCACTTAGAGAGGGCTGTAAAACACTGTAAAGTGGTATACAAGTCTTAATCTTTATTGCTATTGTTGTTCCTACAAACTCACTCCAGTTCTGTCTACAAGCCAAGAGCACATATGAAATTCAAAAGCAGGACTCCCAAATCAATAATGAAGTATCAATAAAGGAAAATATTTATAGCTCTAATGAGAGAGTGGTCTTCTTGCAGAGATGTCATGACCCAAACTAGGTCTAATTCAGATAATGAAACATCTGCAAGAAAAACAACCAAGTTCAGAGAACACCAAAGACCCTTCAATAATAAAGGCTCAATGTAGTATTTTGTTCATTCATTCGTTCATTTGCTCATCCATCCATCCATTCATTCAGTGAGCACTGGAAGAATATTCTCTGGAAAATAAAGAGAGGAACCCCTACAGACCAAAAGATCTATTCATGTTTTTATATTTCAGGAAAGGAAGAGAAAAAGATATTTTCATACATATGCATAGGTCATAGATGATGTAAGCAGAGATATTCATGATTAGCAAGTCTTACTTTCCCATACTTGTAGAGTTTCTATCTTTAAGAAAGAATTATAGTCCTAATAAAATGAAAGATTAGTTACCTTGTGATAGAAATTAAGATAAAGCTTACTGAGAGCTGAGTACTTCAAGGCTGCCTCAATTAACATATATTCCTTCTATGTTTTTATTTTGCTAATCCAGAAAGGAAAGGAAAGAACGAAAGGAAAAGGAAAAAGGAAAAGGAAAGGAAAAAGAAAGGAAAGGAAAGGGAAAGGAAAAGGAAAGGAAAAAAGAAAGAAAAGGAAAGGAAAAAAAGGAAAAGGAAAGGAAAGGAAAAGGAAAGGAAAGAACGAAAGGAAAAGGAAAAAGGAAAAGGAAAGGAAAAAAGAAAGGAAAGGAAAAAGGGAAAGGAAAGGAAAAGGAAAGGAAAGAAAAGGAAAAGAAAAGAAAAGAAAAAGAAAAAGAAAAAGAAAAAGAAAAAGAAAAGAACTAGAAATCCAATATTCTGAAAAGCAAAGCTCCAGTCTGCTGCATCGTATCTATTTTCAGGAGTACTCTTAATCACCTTAAAGGTCTCCAAGATGAAAAGCGTGTTGATTTTCTAGTATGTTATTTTTGCAATGGTTACATAATTTCCCCCTGAAATGTTGACAAGCCCTAAGATTCTTTGAATCCCATAGTGCATAATCAAGCACTTGAATTTCTCTTTTTTGAGCTCCCAAAGGCTTTGATCAATTTTTCACACATAGAACATAGAATAAAAGAACTGGAAGGGACCTTGGAGGTCTTCTAGTCCAACCCCCAGCTCAGGCAGGAAACCCTATGCTATTTCAGACAGGTGGTTGATCCAATCTCTTCTTAAAAGCCTCCAGTGTTGGAGCATCCACAACTTCTGGAGGCAGGTTGTTCCACTGATTAATTCTTCTTACTATCAGGAAATTCCTCTTAGTTCCAGGTTGCTTCTCTCCTGGATTAGTTTCCATCCGTTGCTTCTTGTCCTGCGCTCAGGTGCTCTGGAGAATAGCTTGACCCCCTCCTCTCTGTGGCAGCCCCTCAAATATTGGAACACATGTCACCCCCTGTTCTTCTTTTCATTATACTAACTGGACCTTCATATGTTTTAACCTCCTGCTTCCTAATCACATGACACAGACAAGGAATAATGGATGGAAACTGAACAAGGAGAGATTTAACCTGGAAACAAGGAGAAACTTTCTGACAGTGAGAACAATCAACCCATGGAACAGAAGTTGCCCTTGGAAGTTGTGGAAGCTTCATTACTGGAGGCTTTCAAGAAGAGGCTGGACTGCCATTTGTCAGAAATGGTGTAGGGTCTCCTTCTTGGGCGGGGGGTTGGACTAGATGACCTATAAGGTCCCTTCCAACTCTGATTATCAGTTATCTGACACTGGCCAAGCTCCTGGAAGGGAGCTAATTTTGGTAGATTTAAATGAAAAACATGGGAACTCATGAAGGAATAAAGGTACTTAATAACAAGAGGGATTCTTCTCCCTATTTCCCAATTGGGCAGCGTTTTTCAATCTTGGCAACTTTAAGATGTGTAAACTTCAACTCCCAGAATTCCTGGCTGGGGAATTCTGGGAGTTGAAGTCCACCAAGACTTGCTGGCAAATTATGGGTAAATATCTTTAGGCCTAAGGCAGTGCTAGGGGAATGAGGTGTCCAGCAGTATGTTCGCACAGGGGGAAAACTATTTTTGTGCCTAATTGTTTTCGCATGCACTGGGTTGTAGTGGTGAAATCCACCCAGGCTGACTGGGAAATCGTAGGAGTTGAAATCCATGCAGGCTGATTAGGGAATTCTGGGAGTTGAAGTCCACATACGGTTGACAACTACTACATAAGAAGTAGGCAGAAGAGCAGGTAAACTCGTAACAGGTCTTGAGCACACAAAATCGTATCAATTGCAGAACTTTTAATAAAATAGACTCTTGATTTGCCCATTCCTTCAACCCAGGTCTGGATTAACTATTAAGCAAAATAAATAAATGTTTAGGTTAACTAGCGAAAGATGAGCAACATGAAGTTTCCCGACCGTCCCTCCCCACATCCTTGCCACCACGCTCAATTTTAGATAATATTTTTGTAATTAATCTTTCTCTGACATGTCTGGCTTTATTTTGCCTTGTTAAGGAAAGTGTTTACTTTGGTGGGGTGAGCTGCTAAAGTTATAAGGGTTGGGTTGAAAGTGTAGGCCAGGTATCATCTTGGTTTCTGTCTCATTGTGTGAGTTTCACTTCCGCCAAGTGACACCATTAATAGGTTGTGTGTGTGTGTAAGGCATTGTGTCTCAATGACTGGTCACTTGAAGATGTGTGGACTTCAATTCTCAGAATTCCCCAGTCAGCCTGACTGAGGAATGCTGGGAGTTGAAGTCCGCACATTTTCAGGTTGCTGAAGATGACTGACTGAATCACTGTCCCAGGCAAGGCCCAGGGAAGAAGAATCAGGGTTGGGATTTCAATGTTTAAACAACTGGTTCTGTGGGCGTGGCTAGGTGGGCGTGGCCATGTGACTGGGTGGGCATGGCTTTTTCTTTTCTTTTTTTGCAGTGCATCCCCCCTGTTTTTTGCCTCATGGGCCTCAGGAAAGCCTCCTGGGTGAAGCAGTAAGACAGCGAAGGGGATCCCTGCACAGCTGATCATCAGAACAGCTGATCATCAGAACAGCTGATCATCAGAACAGCTGATCATCAGAACAGCTGAACATCAGGAGGGAGAAGAAGAAAAAGAAATACCTTAAAGAGCAACTGGGCGGGGAAGAATGCAGTCAGCAATGTCGCGCATGCTCAATAAGGATTGACGGGGCAGGGAGGGCAGGAGAGGAGACAGCCAGGGGCACAATTTGCCAGTTCTCTGAATTGCACAGAATCATAACAACCGGCTCTATAGAACCAGTCCGGACCGGTAGAATCCCACTCTTGAGAAGAAGCCTTCAGTTGGATTTCATTTTTATGGCATCATATTCCTGATTATTCCATTTTTACATCTGATCAACTGAGATTAATCGAGGTAGATAAAATTCCTCTGCCAAGTAATGTACAAAGTGTCCCTCCATTTCACAAGTTTTCCTTTATTTCGACAGGATCTGAAAAATGCTAACTTCAGCCACAGAAGTTCCAGCAATAAGCCTGTCACTGCCAATGCAGAGATTTCAGAAGCCCAGTCAAGTCTGCAGGATAACCAAACACTTACTCACAGTAGTAACTGTTCCAACACCAACACAACTTTGCAAGAAGCAAATGAGATCGGTACATTCCCTAGAGATCTGCTGATTAACAAGACGGTGGATGAGCTTCCGGAAGGTGTGGATCCCACCAAAAAGGAGGTAGGATGGGCTGTCCTGATTAGCATTATGCAATGGTGGGTTCTTCACACAATGTACAATGTGCAATTTGGGGGATGTTCCCTAGATGTTTGTCCTAAGAAGCCCATGCACTGCATCATAATAACAAGGGAAGGTACCTAGGTCTTCTTGTTCTTTGCAGAGGCCGTGGCTAGGTTTGGGGAGTGTTGTTGACTCTTTCAGAAATGGAACATCTATAGAAGAGAATATTTGTAGCTCGGGGTTGAACCCTGGATTCCTCGGAGTTCTCTGAGCTTAGTGGTGTTCTTACAGAGTATTGATGATGTTACCTAGTTTGGTAATGAAACGTCTGCAAGTAAACCACCAAGCTCAGAAGACCCCAAAGACCCCACAATCTTCTTCTTCCTCCTCCTCCTCGCTGCAAACTCCACTCCCTTCTAGCACCGATGATGTTCCCTAGTTCAGTACTGAAATATCTGCAAGAAAACAACCAAGCTCAAAGAACACCCCACAGTCCTCCTCTTCCTCTCGTCTGCTTCCTCCTCCTCCTCCTCCTCCTCCTCTCTGCAAACTCCACTCCCTTCTAGCACTGATGATGTTCCCTAGTTCAGTACTGAAATATCTGCAAGAAAACAACCAAGCTCAAAGAACACCCCACAGTCCTCCTCTTCCTCTCGTCTGCTTCCTCCTCCTCCTCCTCCTCCTCCTCTCTGCAAACTCCACTCCCTTCTAGCACTGATGATGTTCCCTAGTTCAGTACTGAAATATCTGCAAGAAAACAACC